TATATACTATATATGTATAATATATATATATATATCTTTATCCATTAAGCAAACAATATCTTGGCATCACAATCATACACATAGTTGAGAATTTAATGACATTTTGAATTAAGGATATTCTAAAGATTTTAAGTTTTAATTCATTTTATTTTCTTGAAAAATAAAATACCCCTAAAGACAGGTACATGAGTGACTTATTGAAAAGGTTATGACCCTTTCCTTGGCAACCAACTCAGACTGTACTCTCGGTGTTCTCATAAAATCGTCACCAGCATCAATATGACTCTAATTTAATATCCTTGAACCTTCGAAGTAAATTCCACTCATAAAAGGCTGATAATTCAATATATAAACGAATTCAAACGCGTCAACAAAAACAACAACATGATTTCGGTTTGCTGATGTATACGGATAAATATTGTATGTGCAATAGGCCTATAATGTGGCATGTAGGCCAGTAAATCATCTACTGTACCATAGCAGCCTAACTCACATACTGTAGGTTTTGACAACCCACTACCCTTATTATTAGAGTTATTGTTAGAATTCATTGCGGCCCATTATTTTAAAGAGGTCCTCATACACATTAGCTGTTGCTCTTAAGAAGGCCTGCAGTTAGAATATTATTTATTCACTTAATCTTATACAAGTAGGCACACAGAATTTCCTAAATAATACACATGCGTATCCGTCACGGCCATGTAAACATAGAAACAAAAACGATAAACAATTCGGGGGGTCCAAAGCACACTAAACAGCCGTTGTCTAACTCCAAGCCATTGAAAGAAGGGTATATAATTTATACCTCCATGGTCTAACCAAAACTTTGTATAGCAGGTCTAACTTCGTTTTGTAATGGAATTTGCTGTCAAGATTTTCAAACCATTACCTAACACTTTTCGTAGAATTCGGGTTATTAGGAAAGAATACTCCTAAAATTGAAAATCTCAGTTTCTGGCTGTTGACTATGTAACGATTAACAATAGGTTAATGATGACGACATGGTGAGTTTGACGATGATGATAATGACGGATGATGATGATAATAACAATGAAATATTCGAATAGTTTCATCTGGTATGCTTAATGTTATTAACGAATCAGTTCTACAACAACAATGAAATAATTTTGACGGTGGAGGAGGATAATTTTTAATTTTCTAATACCATTACTTCCTTGCAGGGGCGAAAGCTGATATTGCGAGCAGGGGTGAGAGCCGTGGAAGTGTTGCTTCCTGTATGTCTAGACCCGGAACAAAGCTCAGATTGGAGGTTGACGAGGTAAATATCCAACCCACAGATTAATCACAAACACTTCAGGCTTATTTATTTTAAAACGGGGGTCAACATGGGGGAACCATGTACTTTAGAATATGTTGCAAAAATAGACCTTTCCTTATATTGTTTTTTTTAGTCTGTGCCTATTCACAGAGGCGGATCCATAGATGTCCGAAAGGGGGAGGGGGCCGAAAGGGGATGTTCGAGGCAAAACTACCCTGATGGTGTACCACGTGACCGTCTAGAAAGATGTATGTGTCTTCCTTCAATCTTTCAATCAGATTTTTATAATATAATATGCCAATACCAGCTTGAAATTTAATTTGGATTTGTTAAATGTAATAGTGGAGTATTGCCCGGTTTCTAAACATTCAACTAAATATAGGATTATTAATAAATTGGATCTATTTGAAAAGAAACGGCATGTAAATATAGACAGAAATTTGAAACTTATAGGTTTTCTGGTCAAATAAGGGTTAAATGAGTTAATAGATTGTAAGGAGCAACTGAGAAAATGTCTTTTCGATTTAACCGTTTCATGTTTCATACCATCGATGTCTTGGACTAATTACCAAAAAGTAGAGATTCATTGTCATTTAATATGGAAGCTTCGTCGCTATGACAACATTAGTAAATCTAAATATTGTTTCATTAGCATCCGCTCCTTCATTTCGTGCTTGCCACTTAAGCAAACGCTTAATATTATTGCGAATAGAAAAAGTGGGCTCAGTTGGCCGAGCGCATGAACAATAATCAGACGGTCTTGGGTTCGAATCTCATTGCGGATAAAACTTTTTTCCTGAAAAAAATGTTTTATCATCTTTATTATTGATGAAGGTGTCAGTCATACCGAAATTACTAATAATAATAATAATAATAATAATAATAATAATAATAATAATTAATAATAATAATAATAATAATAATAATAATAATAATAATAATAATAATAATAATAATAATAATTATTATTATTATTATTATTATTATTATTAATATTTTTAAGTGTGTAAGCTTAAGACCATGAAAATATTCCGAATGTATAATGGACAATTTATCTTTAGAACATAAAATAGAGTTTCATATTGATAGTCCATGAACTTTATTTTACATAGGCCTATTACAAACGCAGTTGGAATATTAAAAAGGAAACACAATTATCATAAATAATGAAGTGGTTAATTAAAAACTCCATTGAATCATATTTAATTGCGGTACGTTATTCAAAACATGCCGGTTATGGATATTCAGCGAGACTGATCACTACACCACAGAATAATCGGTAATAAGTTTGGTTCAGATAATTTAAGAACCAACACCTGAACAACGACCCCATACATGGGGTGGTTGTTGCTATAAACAATTGTATTACACATGCGCTCTCTAGGCATCTTTTCAGTGGCAGCTTAGACGGGGTGAGTGATGTTAGCTTTGGTCATTTTCAAGTACAGTAAACCAATTGTTTGCTTAAACTATTACATACGTGGATGGACAAACTTGACGAACTATTCTATCACCCACGTTCTTTCCTTCTCTTCAAATACCACTTGAAAAAATGTAAACTATCTATAGTCTGTCAAACAAGAATATGGGGTAAAGTAAATTGGATGCTTAGATAAGCATCAAGTATTATCGAAGATTATTGGGGGATGTTATACAAATTGGCCAATGAGTAGGCTACAATGATGGAAATGTGTGGCACAGACGGCAAGGTACCGTATTCAGTGTTTTTAATCGGTGGTCATGTCTTTAAATCCAAGACTATTTTGCATTGCTATGTGAACTTGGTTAAGGCGATTTCGATCGCAATAACCCAGACCAACTAAGCCTCACCCCTGGTAATTTGTAGCTAAGGTCCAACGTCAGCGTAAACTTAGTACAACATGTGTGTTCTATGGGACGCTGTGTTTAGTTTAATTGTCACTGCCGAAATGTCCATTAGTCGGCTAATTTTACCATTAACCTTAATCCCAATGTATAGTCTCGATTTTTGCATACGTCATTCCCAAACATCATAATGTTACGCGTATAGCTGTCCCAAACGATTATCTACATCTGACTGATTCACCAAAACTAAAGTTTAGTTTATAGGCCACTATCACATTTTCAGCCAGAGGAAATGCACAATTGACGCTGACGCGTTATTATATTTTATTTTTAAAATATTTAAAAAAATAATAATGTCGGTACCGTCTCTCTCCTTCTCCACACAATATGCTTATCTATGTTCTTGTCTACGTTTTATATCTACTACTTTCAGTTGGAGATGATTTTACGAGAAAAACTGAAGAAGAACTATTACGAAATCAAGAAGTTATTCATTTCGAATGATCCAGAGGGCAGAGGCAACCTCAGCCGCGAGGCACTTCATCGAGCAATTACATCTTTCCTTGGAAGGTTCCTTAGTCTGAAACACTTTAACCTATTACTTCTTAGGTAAGTTAACTATCTTTATAGTGAAATACCACGTGTTCATTTTTATCATATTCATTTTTTTATTCTTATGCAATCAGCAACATCTATAGGCCTATAGGATAGATTATGTGGGGTTCTATCAACCAAGTCTCAATACCAGACTTGTTAAATTGAGTTTGAGCCTTAACATTTAAATGCAAGCATATTTAATTACACCTTCCATTCTATACCTGGTCACACGACATAATAGACGCCCGCCCGCCTACTAAGCCGTAACTAAATATTCTCTCCTTCTCAAGATTGAAACTTGGCGAAAAACAAGTCATTCGTTTGGAGGAGTTTCATGCCTGTTTACGAGAACCAGTCAGCAACGATGTTCCATCTTGGTTGGATCCTATAAATCGGCAAAACATCGACAAACTTACAATGACGGCTGGGCAAGTTCACGCTCAACTGAAGGAAAAGGCTCGACAAAGGTAAGCGTAGCATTTGTCAATCTGCGTTTACGTGGTAAGACCAAAGTTCCTAAAAATTGTAACCGAGAAGTTAATGCTTATGTGTTGTAACTTTTGTAGTACAACTTGAACCGGTTCTGATGTATTATCTGGTCTATTCAAATTCAACAAGAAGCAACTTAGGTTGGTTTCCCTCTCTTCGTAAGTTCGAAACAGCACTGGTCATTATAACACTATCATATAACTCATCTCTATCCTCTATCTGCAGACTTGTTGATATCGCTGAGCTGATACCACAAATGAATCCAGGAGGTAGTGGGCGAATCCTAAAACCAGAGTTAAGAAACGCCTTAAACAAAATGCTGTTTTTTATGGATGACGACGAGTTCGAAAAGTTGTGGAGCAAGTAAGTAGGAAACTTTAAAACCATTAATAATGTTGTCGCCATTATCAACGCCATATTATAATTATTAGCGCTAGTTTTGTTTTGATAAAGGTTTTAGACACTTATCATACTGGTCCGTCGTTTGCGCCAGACAAATGAATAACTTGAATTTGGCGCAAGGGATTGTTTTGTTTACATGAATTTTAATTACAAAAAATGCCCCCGAACATTGACGGTCTGTATGCAGATTTAATCATTTTTTATAATCTGTGTCCAGGTACGATGAAGATGGATATGGCGTCATCAACGGCGAGAGATTAATGAGTAAGCTGGGAATATCATTCCGGCCGGGCACGCAAGGTGGGCAAGCGACACGGAAAAGGCCCTCCGAAAGCCAGCTTAGTCCAAGAAGTGAAACTAGAACATCTCGTAAGTTTAACATGTCTTTTAATAGTTAAGATCAAACATCGATATAACTATTATGAGATACTTATACAGTATTAAATCACAGATTAAATGATGGACATACGACACAGAACGTTTCTAAAGGGGCCAGCCAAGAATACGAAATGAGACAAGCTATATGTTCTCCAGACATGTATATGTCAACAGTGTACTTATGTGGACTAACATAATGATAGAGTGGTTTGTTTGTTTGTTTACTTAGCGAGGAGATCTCCGAGAAAAGCCGAGGTTGATCGAGCCAAGTCGCTAGATGTGGAAAAATGGTTAAAAGACAAATTTAGAGAGGGATTCAAGAAAATGAAGAAAGAGTTCGTTAATTTAGACACACAGCGAACTGGCGAGGTAAACATATAATTAAGAGACCTGTATTGAATTAATTTAAGACCTTACTGTATATGTATCTTAAACATTTTATGAAAACGTCTTAATCTTGTTGGAGGAAGAAATGAATTTTAATCGGGTACATTGGTTCAAGTTCCAATGAATACTTTAAAACAAATTATTTTTTTAACAAAATTAAATATTTCTTTTTTATAGATTGATCGAAAGGATTTTCAGAGAATTCTTGAAAAGTTCGATTTGAAGTTAGACAACAAACAACTAAATGATTTCATGGCACGATGCTCGATTACCTGTAGAAAAGATGGAAGAGTCTCCTACAGAGACTTTCTGCAACGCTTCCAAGACAGAAGCGAGGAAGGAATTCCACATAAGATTCTAGCCAACCCTAAACACAGGTAACAGAAAGCAAGAGCAAATTAGAATCTCTCCTAGCAGTTTTAACCACCGATTTAATATGTTTTTACGATTTAATATGTTTGTAATATTATTAATTTTAGATACAATAAAAGTGAACGAAGCAGGAGTCCTGGTGCTTGTACAACAATAACGGCCGTCGAGACGAAATTGATGGGCATGTTCCAAGCTGATTTCTTGTCACTCCTTGGAACCTTCCAGTAAGTAAAACAAACAACGCAAAATGAAAATATGTACAAAATGTACAGTACTTTGTAATGTATATATAGGTACGGTAGTCTTACATACCCATGTATAGGCCTATATACATATCAAGTTAAATTTCCTTTTAAAATATTCAATTGATAATATTTATGTGGCTGTGAACATCCCCATCCCCAGTTCATTATCATTATTGTCACCACCACCACCGCCGCCGCCACCGTCACTGCAACCACCACAATGGTGCCTCGAGACTATAACTATGATATTAAAATGTTTAGTTACCAAGATTACAGTCGTTATACCTTGCTGTTCTTGTAGCAAAATTGATAGGATGCACACAGATGTGATCTCACTAGAGGAGTTCAGAGCGGCAATTGAAAGCCGCTTCGGAATCGACATGTCAGACGATGAGTTCGGTGCTCTGGTTGATAACTTACCGCTTGACGACGAAGGAAACGTAAAATACCCACAATTCATGGCGCAATTTGATACCAGGTAATACAATTTAAGTTCAAAGTTTGTTTTTATTGTCATTACAATTAATTATAAATACAAATTAATTAGCACTAAATAGTGATTTTTGTCACTACATCTTAGTGTTCCTTCCAATGTTAAAATAAATAGAAATATAAAATGTAATGATACTAGGTAGTGTTGTAAGATATGATACAACATTGGTTATACTTTCAATAATGCAAATATAGTAGAGCGCCTGTTTAAGTGTTAAAGCTGAGTTGATGTAATTACACTGTTAGAGAGGGTACGGCTATAACACTGAACAGTGTTAAAACTGATATGTTTTTATTCTGATTCTTGTTATGTTGTCAAATTGCTAAAGGCACAAACATCATTATCATTATTATTATACTTATTCAACTTTCAGAACAATTTTCTCTACCTACTTTTGCATGGTATATTTGTGATTATTGCAGGAATTTTGGTGCACCAAGTTTATTCGATGCCAAGTCAGAGTATCATCGGAATGAACCAGAAGAACCAATGGAAACAGAGGCCCCTGAGGAGGAACTTACGCCTATGGACTTTAGAGATTACATGAAAGGCAGATCTAATGAACAGGTACATTCATTTTGGTACAAACCTGTACATGATCAATGTTTTTGATAGCATTGAACATAAGACTACTGTTTGAGTGGAAAAGTCTTCCCGTGTCGCTTAATCATGTGTATGCGATTACATCAAAATACATCAATATATCTACGTTCATACAGTTCTCAAAGACAATGGATTACCATTAAAATACGAATAGCACTCATTTGGTAATCCAATAGTGATTACAAATATGACACCCATCGTAAACTCAGTAAATATATATAAAAGTATTTATTTCATTTTGGCACAAAAATATCCAGCTGGACCTAACAATAATTATTCTGTTTTAATGTTGTTCTAACAGTTGAAAAAGATGCTAAAGAAAATTGTAAGAGATCGTTATCAGGAGGTTGAGGCATTGTTTAATGAACTTGATGAATCTAACACCGGAAAACTCAACCAGGAAATGATGTACTATATGTTAAAGAAGTAAGTAGGCCTGTTGCATCATGGAGCAATTAGTTTATTGGTTGGTTGCATATACTATGCACATGGAATAAACAATTCATTCTTGAGAACTTTGTAAGAATATAATAATAGATGTGAAACATTATTGTACGCCAGTGATTATTATGGAATGGGTTTTGATTATGAAATTGTGCACAAAATTCTAAAACAAAATAGAAATCTTACCTATGTTACTCTAGCTTCTCTTTAAATAAAAGATTAATTTGTTGAGTTGAAATATAGCAATTTGGTTCCACCAATAAACACTGCATGTCATGTTATCGTGCATTATAGTACGGTACTTTATACTGTGTATATCAAAATACATTATCGTCATTAATAATAAGGAATATTTTAACTGGTTCATGAATAGTAAGAAAATGTTAATTCTATTCTAAATAAGTGTGGTTCATTTAAACTATGGTTTTTATTTCTCATAGGCTCGGAGTGAGACCAGAGATCACAAGAGGTGAGATCAGCCGACTCTGGGATACTTTCATAACTACGCAAAACCGCATGCTCGACTTTCAACAATTCGTCCGTCATTTTGTTTACACGCCGAAAGACTCTGCGTTCCCGAACGCTAAACTTGTGCCACCAAAACGTGGCGATTCTGATTTCCTAATCCGTTCGCGCAAGTTGAACTGCGCAAGCGACATGTTGGAAGACAACCTGCGGTCAAAGGTGGATTACAGGTGGAACGATCTTAGGAATGAATTCCTAGGTCTTGATCCTTACGCCACCGGATACATAACCAAAGAAGAGTTCAGAGACGTTCTCCAGGAACTCTGTGTTCAGTTGAACAACTATGAACTTGATATGCTTTGTAGGAAGTTTGACGTCAATAAAGATGGACGGTAAATACTTTTAAGGCATTTTAAGTATAGTTTTTTAGAATTAATTTAGGCCTAAGTTTAAGCATCCAGAGGAATTAAGTAATTAGTACCTGAAAGCTGTATAACATATAATATATAATGCCTGTCTCTTATACACCTCTAGATGTGTATAAGAGACAGGTGTTAAAACTGATATGTTTTTATATATATATATGAGCTGAATATGATCGTTGATTGGTGTAAAAGGCATGGATGGCCTACGTTGTGACAGATATGCTACTGTAGGGGAATGATTGACTAAACATTTTTGATGACGTAGCTGTATTGGTTATCGTTTCCGTAAGCTTGCGAAACCTTCCTATTAATGTTCCCCACGTTAACAAGCCATTTCAGATGATTAATGTTTAACAGTTTTAAAACGAAGGACCATTTCAAACTTAATCCCTCCAGATTTAACAAGGTAATTATGATTAAAATACTGTCCCAGGATTTACAGTTATAATAACCAAACATTTCTTTAATTACTTTCAGAGTTTCATACATTGAATTTCTTAAGCCATTTGCACTTCGAAAACAAACTCATCGGTATGGAAACAACATGTTAGATGTACTTACCCACGCGCAACCTGAAGTTCCTATTGCTCCAATCGTCAACGAACCACATAAAGGTTTAACGGGCATGACAGCGAGACTACGACAGAAGGTAGCCTGTTCATTTCTTTTCTTTTTCTATTTCGATTTCTTTTTTTTTCTCGCTCAAATTCACCCTGAAATAGAAAACTTGCGAAGTATACAAAATTGTATTCAAATGTATTTTTAAAAAAATAACTCCAAAAAGGAGAGAGTACATGACATAAAGATAAAATCTAAACAAGCAAACAATAAAATAATATTGTAATATTATTTTACAAAGTTTATATAGTTATTCGGAAAACATACAAGAGGATGTGGCCACTCTATGCATGGGTACAAAAAAGGGAAATTACTAATTTGTTCAGTAGGTTTGATTTGTAAACTGGAGTAAGAAGTCTTAATGAATTGAGTTCCCCACAATAGTAAAGATTGGAAAGAACTTTCATTTAAAAATTCCGGAAGTAATAATGATTGTTTTTCGTCGCATGGACAGCTTTTCTTAACGAAGTGAAACAATCATGGTACCTTGTCCCTAAGCTGTACAACACCTTGCAAATTCACTCTTAAGTTATTATGGCGTTGATATCGTTGTAATTATACACCGAATTATATTTCGCTTATTTTTTTTATGATATAGTTGGTAGGAGACTGGCGCCATTTACGAAGAGCTTTCAAGAAACTCGATAAAGGAAATACGGGATTATTAACCGTTCCTGAGTTCCGTAATACTCTAAAACTGTGCAACATCATTTTAAACGAGGAGGAGATCTACCACGTGATGTCTGACTTCGACGAAAATATGGACGGCAAAATTAATTATAGCCGGTTTATTACTGAAACATTCCGACCAGAGACGACTAAGGATAGCTGAATCAATATTATTACAGTCAATATATTACTTTACTGTGGTATTACTTATATTTTATTTATTCAGGTCTCTTTATTTATTTGTTAGAATTGTATAGTGAATAAGCCGCAGTATTTATGTGCTTTGTGGTTATTGGATTCAGTACCGTATCAACCACACGCACTTTGTAGCCTTCTTCACTCGGGCGGCGTACCGTACCCCTATTGTTTAGCTATGATTCTACAAAAAAAAACAAAAAAAAAAACATTTAAACATAAGAACATACAAATTGTTAGCTGGGAGATCATCTACATTCTACCAACTAGGCCTAGGTCATCTACATCCTACAATCTATACGCATCAATTTAGTACTGGGCCTTCTATTAATTATGATACTTTTGAATGCAAGTTTCTTGCCTGAAAACGTTACTTATACAAGCATTATGAGCAGCATCGGTCTCGGAAATAACTGCCATATATATTTGGAAGCCAACAATTAGCCGATGTTTTTGACTCTTCCAGGTTTCATGGTATGGTAAGTTGTCACATGCTAATAAACGTGGTCACGGAGCAAATCTCCATAAACATGAATAGAAATATTTAGTATCTGAAGGTGTTCAATTAACATGACCATGAATTGTTAGCTACTGGGCTACCGGTTAAAGTTTTGATATTATTTAACGTATTGTGGCTGGTAAAATAAACAGTACGACGGTATAACCACGTAAAATCGATTAGAAAACAGCAAATAAAAAATGTGACTCTTTTGTGTTCGCGTTTAATAGGATTAATTAATAGTTGCATTATTTCATAGGTTGTACATTTTTTTGTGTCTAAAACAGAGTACTTACTCTGAGCATTATTTCAGATAACAAACGGTGCTTTTCTTGTAAAATATAATTGTTTTTTTAATATATAAAACCCACTATTAATACATGATAATCCATCCAACGATAGTTGTTATATTAAATCATTATGTATATTGTCATAATATCTATCTATAGTTTGAAATTAGGAATCACCATTGCTGTGTAAATCATGATTCGTTTTGTAAAATTTTATATTATACCGTGTATTAATTGTGACTATTCCTTAGGCGTTAAAATTCAATCTTTTCATGATATAAAAATCCCATAAAATATTTTTTTTCTGTTTATAATTTTATCATATGTATAAAATCGCATGACAGGCATACCACTGTTGATTTATGCCTAACATTATCAAGCTAATCATATTTCATTATGTACAGTAAAAGCAATATTATTGATAAAGATATTATTGTTATTATTATTATTATTATTATTATTATTATTATTGTCATCATCATCATCATCATCACCATCATCATTATTACTACAGGTATTATAATTAATACTTTTTATTAATATTATTATATCCGTGTGAATGTGTAATTGTATATATATTTTTAATATTATTATAAAAGAGTGTGTATGTATAAAACCATTTTCGTCTTCAAACGTTTCAATAAATGGCGTAATAAACTATATTACCATGGTCATATTAACTTTTTGTGAAGTAGTTCATACAAATATAAATTTAGTTTATTGATTTCTGAAATATAAGCTATGGGCACCCAATATGTAGCGCCGAAGATGCAACACTGACCGACGCAGTATATGCTTGGCGTATCATATCATACAAGATCCTAACTTTCTGCCCTTGTATTGTGGAGAATGTGCATATTTTAATTCACGTCAATTTTACACCTTACGGCTCTTGTTATATTATACGCAAGTCTCTTCACATTTTAGATAAGCATTAAAAAAACAATATCTAAAATGCAATTTGTAAGCTCCCCAAACAAAGAGCTACAATTTTATCTTTCAATTCTGCCACTAGAATTCAATCTATGGATTGTCCTTAGCCCATATGTTACAATTGAACAAGAGAGCTACCGCAACGGACGGTGCTGGTGGAACAAACGGAACAAGAGCAGGGTAATTAATGGAGCATGAAAACGGGAACAACACACGCTTTAAGCGGCCTCTGTCTTTAGCACTTCACGTGTGAGAGGAATCTGGCACGTGAGACGCGTGCGTGGTAGATGACATCCCGCTGCCTCGTTAGTAATGCTTCGCTTATTCCCAATTGTTCTTAACGTATTCTGTAATCTATCTGGACACATTACCTAATACATAATGATGATGTACTAATTTTAGAATAAAATGATGATTGATTAGATAATTAAAATTGAATCCCGTTCGGACTAGTTAATCCAATACGGCTTTAATCAAATGTCCTCATAAATTGTTTTAAGATCCTTGAAATATAAAAAAAAAATATTGATTAATATAAATGAAAAATTGACTAGACATATGGAGGACAAATAGACCATTGTCTTGCCGAAACAATTTTAGGATTTTTAGGAGTAATTTAGTAAAGATGCGAACAAGCCAAACTTAATCGTTTCGATATGTGTCGAATTACTAACAAACTTAGGACTATTTGATATTAACTTGAGCAATCGGTGTTTTATAAAATGTTCAATAACTATTTATTAATAACAATACCCACCCACCCCCACATAAAAGGAAAAGACGAACGAAAGCCCTATTTAAATGGTGATATTTAAAGAACAAAGTTACAGTAAAATCTAAATCTCATTACCAGAATCCTAATATCGCAGCAGGTACACGATAGCTTGTTACTGGTAAAAACAGAAACTCATTCACGCGTGATTTTTCAAGCTGGTCGTGAACGGCTTGCAACATCCTTCGTTAAACAATAGAACTAATAAAGCAAAGCCACGAACTCGTGCGTGCAACAACAGGCAGCAACGACGGGATGTCGTGAGAAAGAGGATCCAGTGGGTGAAAATTAACACTTGTCACCGTTAATTTTATGGTAAACTCAACTTGGTCGACAGACGACCATTACCACTTGACGATACGACAACGTGCACAGCCCGTGCACCACGCTTGATACACGACAGGGAACTTGCCCTACGACGAAACGGCAGAGGATAAACGGATCTATTTTAAGCAACGCAACTTACCCGAAGATATGAGTGGAAGAAAGCGCGAACGTTCAGTAAGTAGGGACAAAGTCTGTCTCTTATACACATCTAGATGTGTATAAGAGACAGGTATAACCACGTAATATATATATATATATATACACGATATTTTATAAAGTGTTTCTATTAAGCAACATTTTACAAATCAGTTAAGTGTACCTTAAGTCAAAACCACACTGGTGTGGTAAACATTACAACGTTAAAACAGATACAATATTGTTGTGAAGAGCTAATAAATTTTAACAATAAAATTAAATATTTTAATTTTCAGATTTGTTTATTCATTTAGACATAATATTTTTAATCCGGTTATATATTACGGTACACGCTTGTCTTTCATACTCATGTGTTCGTGTCTAAATTATCATTATTGTTGATTTATAATCTACTGCGTATACTTAACTATTGGTCAAGCTCTTCCCACCAGAAACCAACCCCCGTATATCTAAGTTTCGGTTTTGGTGTTTAAGGTGTTTAACGAGATTATTTCTCTTTTCTTTTGTTTTCTATCTTTTCTCTTTTCTTTATACATTTTTCACTTCCTTTCCTTTCTTTTCTTTTTCTTTTCCTGTCTTTTCTAATCAATTTTCTTCTTTTTCCTTTAGCTCTTATTTTTTCACTTCATTTCTTTTTCTTTTTTCTATTTTGCTTTAATTTTCTTAACACTGCTAAACTGAGCACATGCACTGCTTTTATCTCACCAGTTCACTCGAGAACCACTTTACGATAAAAACCACTTCGTATATTGAGAACATTTCGATTGAGTAGCCTAATATTGAGAAAGATAGACCATAGTAAGGCCTATTTCTGAAAATCTATTTTCATGGTTTAAACAACAATTTTATTTTCAACGCAGGAACACACATCACATAAAGTGATAGAAAAACGGCGCCGTGATCGTATCAATAGTTGTTTAGCCGAACTCAGCCAAGCTGTTCCGTCAATCTTCGGTAAACAGGTAAGTTGTCCGCTTTACTTCTGTGTTAAGGACTTGATAAGAGGCCCGTGCCGGTCCGGATACACGCGCCTCAGTCAGCAACGTGCTTATGTTTATTATCACCCGGCACGTGTCATCATATAGCGCAATAACCACGCTGTCTCAACATCTTTGTCAAGAGGCAAGCAAGCGCACTTTGTCATTCTTAAATATACAGTACAATCAGAGTATTATAATAGGAATAATTACAAAGATAACGATAATTTCAAACGCATTTTTAGGAAAGTAACGCAAGCAATGTTTAGCAATAATGACACAACCTGCCGACGGCTCCATTTTATTATTTTTGTTTATATTGCGTTGATTACATGGTCTTCAATTAGCAAATAGGAGCCACGGTTTACAATTCGTAGGTGTTTGCATTGAAAGCATTCATTTATGCCTAAATAAGAATTAGTCCTTATATTTTAGACAGTAGGTGATTGGCTCTTTATAATTTGAAAATATAATACCAAATAGGCCTATATAACAAGGCCTACTCCACAGAATTATTATTGGATTTAAATCAATGAAACAGAATTATCATAAGTAGGTCTCGTAATAACAATAGTAAAATTAATAATAACAATTTCCTAATAGGTGATATAGAATTGATTTCTTTGATCAGAGGGATGAATTGACTAATATTGCTATACCAAGTGAAATTATTGTTTTATTTGTTTTAACAATTATAAAACAATAATTTCACTTGGTACAGCAATATTATTGTTTTATTTGTTTTAACAACGATGGACAAACTTAACGCAGGCATAGAATGGTAGGGAAACCACATGCAATACTGTTTAAAATAATAACCGTTGATTTTCATAGACTTCGGGTAAACTAGAAAAGGCCGAAATACTTGAGATGACCGTGAAATATCTCCGTGTGTTGCAGCGCTGTGGTGTAGCTGGACGGTTCGAAACAGGTAGGCCTACTGATGTTTGCATTTTACTTATGGAGTGGCTCAGTTATGCTTTATTGCAGGGAGGTGGGAACGCGAGTGACGATCAAAGGCTTTAGACCGAGTTGGACGGGGTCCCAGTTCAGGAGTTTTTGCAATTTCTTATCTTACCTAAATGATTTCACAATTGGCATGGCTGCTACCGGTGCGTGAGTGCCTCTTTTGGCTCAATGGACCTACCACTACTGAATATATTCATCATCCACACACAAGCGCAAACACACTTTACATCAAATATGGAAACAATTATGCATATCTTATTTTTTTTTAATGTCAATATTTTCGATTTTCTTACAGGTTCGGAGCTAAAGCATAGGGATGGGAAATATGACAGAAGTATGCCTAACCAATACAACGCGGGGTACAGCGAATGTCTTAAAGAGATTATTCGTTATCTAACAGAAGTTGAAGGCCTAAGCCCTTCAGACGACAAATATCAAAAGATCGTTCATTTTTTACGCAGCCGCCAAGATTCCCCGCAACATAGTTCATTTCAAGATTATTACAGGAATTTTACTTGTTCATCTAACCCACCGCAACCACATTTACTTCCAGGGCTACGTGTAGCGCAGTCGCATTCAATGGTAGCACTGCCGTGTTACTTGGACTTCAAATACTCCAGTCCAAACTTGAACGATGTGTCACCGCAGAAGCCACACTACAAACCTCCAATAGAAATTAGAGCACCACCCGAATTAATCGTTTCAGATGGCCCCTCACTACCTCAGGAACCCTCTCCAATATTTACTGAAGACATGTTGTCACCGCTACGCGCAACGCCAACACTATGGCGCCCATTTCCAGTCAATGCGCATGCACTAAGCAACGTACAAAGACAGCTTTTCCAGCCCCGCCCACTATGTTTATTTGGTAGTAAACTTAAGGTAGAGAACTTCACTCCCGAGTCTCTGTGAAGATATAGGCTTATGACGCGCTTAGGGCTGATATGACGTTTAATTACAAAATGTTAGTGAACATTAAATACAACGAAGAATGATTTAATTCTAAAAACAATACTGAACATCCCCACCAATCAACGAAATTCTGCTACGTAGGCCTAATGATAGTAAAGCTAAAATTAAAGCGCACGCAACACATTTTCAGGAGTTCGGGCAGGGGGAGGTTGTTAAGTCAACTCTATAGCATGACGATCTTATCTGTTTGATGTGTGCTTTGTATAGACTAGATTAAAGACGATACCCAAAGGCGACTTTTTTTTTCTTTGTGTAGGCTCTATTGCTGAAAAACGGTTTAACAAAAAAAAAAAAACAATAGTTTTATGCTACAAATGTTCCTCTTTCTATATGATTTGACAAGCCGAGTCCAAAGGTAAAAATTCGCTAACATATACACAGTTCGCCCGTCTCAAATTCCAGACCACCGTTGAGACCAACAATTTGGGATGGTCTCGGGGTTCGGTCTCCAATTAGAGGGTTACCTTTGTGTGAAAAGATTGAAGATTATTATGTGGTTTTTTGAATAAAATGGTATCGAATTAGAGGGATCTTGACAATAGAGAGGTCTCGAATTGCAGGGTGCAATGTACTATTTTTTTTTAAATGACAAGCTTGGTATTAATATCAACAACTTTGTATTAAGTGTATCCCTATTTTTGAATATAATTTTTAGAGCACAGTATATTGTTGCAATACGTAGCTCCAAGATTGGTATCTGATCTTGTGGAAATTGACATGTGTTGTTCATACGCTAAAAATATTAGTTATTTAATTCCAAAGTATATATTTTGGTGAATCCAATCTAATTGGAAACATATGTATAAAGTGCAATAAATTGGTTTAGAGCATATCATTTATTGTGTCGAGTTTGAAGTGACTGTGGAAATAGAGTTTTTTCATCATCACCATCTTTACGATTCCCTTCAAAAACCTTGCGTCTCGGTAAAATATTCCCCAAGTGTACTGTATAGAACATTTATTATTAGATGTTTTGCCCAAGCCCTATCGATCTAAAATATCACAAGTCTAATGATATGAACAACATATAATTATATAAGATGAGCCCAAAATACTTTTATAATAGGCATTTGGTCACTTAGCCTGGGTTCCAGGCCCTAATTTTGGGTTATCACTCTTTATTGCACTTAGTGCGCGCCATACCTAATTTAATTGGCGTCCCATACTCGATTCTTTTTTTTCGGATTAGATTTCTTATTCCGTCTCTAAATTAACTTTCTCGTTGGTGGCGCCGTCCAGCATGAGAAAAATACTAACAAATAAGAGACTTGTGGCAAGTCTATTGGTCACTGAAACCCACGGAATTTAACTCATTAATTACAATTTTCAATGGCGGATCCAAGAATTTTTTGCCCGGTGGTGGAAATGGGGTGAAGTGGCAATCGCGTAGACCAACGGTCAATAGAGACAGGACCTATGTTTGTGGGGGGAAGGTTTCGACGTTCCTTTACCTATTGTGGAAGAGGTTCATGAAGTAATATGGTCTGAAATCTCCGAAGTTTTCACAATTATAATCCAAATATTTTAAACTTGGACAGATAATTATTGTTGGCAACTGTCAAAAAAAGTATAAGCGTATCTTATCTTTCAATAACTATAGATCATTCTTCATCGTCGTCTTCACCATCATCGTCTTGGAATAAGTTGAATAGTGAGAACACATTGCTATTGTAACAATTATGAAGATATAACTACTGTATTGCATCCAATTAATTAATGGTTATACTGACAATACAATATTTTTTGATAACACTAATTTTAATATCTAATTCTATGAGTAAATACTAAATGTTTTGTTTTATCTTTGTAAAATTTTGTTTGGTAAATTTCTGTATTGTTTGAGTGTTGTTCTTGTATACTTAAATGTTTTCTGTAAATTCTTGTTTTTTATTGTAAACTAATAATTTCAGACTGGTTCTGCTTTTTGCAATGTGTTTTATACCTGAACAATTTAAAAAAAAAAATAATAATTTTAAATTATTTAACTTACTTCTCAAAAAACAACTACAGGTAATAATTTCTGAGACACATCTATAAAAAAGAAATTTTAATTCCTTGTCACTTGAGTTTTGTAGTGCAACACTACATTAGAAAAAGCTTGCTACAATCTGCTTACATTACAGAAGTAAAAAAATTGTATATAAAATAAAAAACACATGTTCATGATTTTGCCAGAATTTCAAAATCACTATAAATTTTCACATTTAAATAAAGACTCCAATGGTAATCAATACATTGTTTTTAACTTTTCTAGCATATCAAGCAATTAATCATTAGGCTTTGAGATATACTGTCTGTTTGATTATGTCAAAGACATTTAGATAACCGCACCATTATGGCATGCTGTGAATAATGTACAGACGGGTCTAACACCTTAAATTGTCGGTTAACTGGTTAATTTTAGGTCATTTTTTGATTTAGTTTTTTTTTATTTTCTGACTCCATTACTTTTTATTCTCTCTTTTCTGTTAATGTAAAGCGCATAGAGGCTCTAGAATTATGCGCTATATAAGATTTATAACATTATTATTAGAAATATATGCAACACCTTAACATGTTTAATTCAATCACTGAGCTGCTCATTTAAAGCATCAGATGTTTGATAAGTTTTCAATAAGACAGAGATTCAATTCAGTTTTTGCATAATTTTTGCATTAATTGAATAATGTTTTCTGCTCTAATATTGTCAATTGAGAGTGAATTACTTGCTTAAATATACATAGTAAGCAAATGAATTATTCAATTTTATTAGCCCAAAGCAGACACTATTTATTTAAATTCACCCTATATTCCACAATTAAAATTACGTGCTTATGTTTTTTCCATAGTTTTTGGAGATTGCAATATTTGTTATAAAATATTTACCATAATTATTTTCAAGTAGCAATATTTTAAGTAAAACATATCACTGGTAATGAATTAACCTACACTAACTCCGAGGCGGGAATCCTCCTCTATGTCCTCCCCCTCCCCTGCCACCCCTAAAACCTCCCCTTATTCCGCCACGACCTCTCATGTTCCCTCTGCCACCAGGTCCACCACCTCTGATACCCCCTCGTACACCACCTCCTCTGGCACCACCTCTTGACCCACCACCACGTTGTCCCCCACCTCTCTGGCCTTTGTTCTTAGGGGGTGGGGATTTTGGTCGTAGCCTCTCAATCTCGTCAGTGCAGCCTGACAAGGTGCTCTCGGTGAAGTAGTTTCTGTAGGTTTCCGGTTTAAAGTTGGTATTGGACAGCTTAGGGCCAACAGTTAACCATCCTACAATTACAAGATATGAGTTAGAGAAAATGGTCTGGGGAAGGGAATATAAAATTGGCAAATAAGTGACCATTCAGGTTGAATAGTCAAAATTAGTTACCAAATATGTGTGCTGTCATGAAAAAATGAGTCATGTGGTACAAAAAATGAATTATTGCAAATTTTTAAAATAGACACTTCTAGATTCGCATAAATGGCACTACAGACTGTAAAAAAAACATTTTCGAAGCAGTGTTGAATAACATGCCCCCGGCATGTTATTGCGAACGGTTAGATATCGTATCATATCAGCACCCCACTTAATTCTTTATCCCTCAACAGTCACCCCTTCCCAATACTCTACGTCACTGGATACAGTGAGCTACACTCAGAAAAAGTCAGATTCTTTTTAACAATGCCAGAGCATGTGGTCGTGTTTCTGTAAAAACGGAAAATCGGCCAGAAAAATGATTGAGCAATGTTGCGTGGACCTGATCAAAATCTTTGGCAGGTGGGAGTTGGACTGCATACCAGGGATTGAATACAGAGGATATAGACTTTAAATTGGCTGGTAATCAATTTAAGCTTTTATGTAGTAAAACGTCTGTAAGTCATCAAAAAATAATTGAGCTCAATTTGTTTCTGGTAACATGTAAATAATAATACTTGACTGTAAATGAGCAATTTATAAATTTTTATTGAATTTTTGATATTTTTTCCCAATTAATTGGCAGGTAGTACATCTCAGAATTTACTACAGATAGAATATCAAGTTGAGTTTACAATAATCCACTAACATTTTGTTTAAATATAAAAGTTTAATCATAAGTTGCAGTTAAACTTACCTGGTCTTATCGTATGGTCAGTTCCAAAGAGGTGTAGGCGCCGCCTGCCGAGACAGAAGTGTTCCATGATGTGGAAGATCTCTTCCGGCTTTTCAAGACTTCCTTGCTCCGGTTCCTCGTCGATGATGACGTCTAGATCAACGTTGGCATGAATGAAATCTCCATCTGTGGATCGTCTTACAGTTCCTTTTATGCCCATTAAACAATGCTCCTGAAAATGAACAGAAGTTTAGTAACAGTATGACCTCAGTGTTTTTCACAGGCTCCAAGACCTATTCTATGCCCTCTGTACTGTTGTCCCTTTTAAAAAATGTTAAGTTAATTAAAATATTAAGGAATTTTTGCAAATAACCATGCTATCAGAACAGCAATAATAACAATATGATCCTCATACTAATGTTCTATCTATCCATCCATTCATTTATTCCTTCCTTCATTCATTAATTTAATACTTCATTTAATTCATTCATTCATCCATTTAATAAGTGTCAGAAAAATGTTAATTCTTTCCATCCTAGACACTGTTGTTTTGCCCATTAATATGGTGTACAATAAATCTTTACACTTCTAAGCAATTATTTAGTATTCAGTTTCTACTGACAATAATGTAAACCCCACTTTATAACAAACTTAATTTTTTTACCAATTCAATGATTCACCCTTAAAACTATACAATCTACCATAGACAAAAACCATCAACAATTAATGTAAAACACATTGTATAGCTTACTTAAATCAATCAGATGGTATATGTCCTGTTGTTTGATCCAATGACCAGGAGAAATAAGGTAAAGTTTAGTTTATTGCAATATGCACTATATTAACCTTGTATGTTAATATTATTATTATTATTATTATTTCGAAAATATACAGACAAAAAAGAGTATCACATATGAAGTAGGCATGTATACCTTTGTCCTTTGGAATAAAGCTGTTGGCCCTAAGTTTTTGGAATGTCCTGGATTGCGAATGTTTGTTTTAATCCAGCAAATATCTTCGCACCGTCTGAATCCCCACTCCCTCAGACACTGCAAACAATAAATACTTCATTAGAATGATAGCGTTTAATGCATTACTTTTCACAAGCATTCAGATTTTCCTCAAAGTATACTGGTAACTCATTGAAAGCAACGAGACACTCTAAACAAAAGCAACAGTTATTTTCAGAACTATCTATGTGGTGTACCACAAGCATTTATTATTATTGTCACTTCACATGCAAACTTTCCAAAAAATATTTTTTACTCTATGTTGATACTACAAGCTCAGTCCACGCTGTTGTATGCCCATATATAGTCATGATGCGCCTATATATGGTCATGATGTGCCTATATATGGTCATGATGTGATGTCATCATGACCATATTTAGGCATGTCACATGTTTTTATCAAAATATAATTTGATAGGCTGGATAAGGGCTTAAGAATACTGTAAGCAGCAAGCTAACTTTCTCTAATAATGAGCAACCCATCGTAGACTGACTGTAATGCCGTGTGTAGCTTCCTGGCTCGTTATTTCATATTTTGTGTGAAATGAAAGTAATTGATGCATCCTCACCCTTCTGCCCATGTCAAGGCCATCTGATGAGCCAACCCATAGGAAGATGAATGATCGATGTGCTGCTATATCTTGTATATCTAGCTTCAAAATCTATAAAAATAAAAATATAACAAAATCTTTTATACAATGCCTTGTTTTAAGTGCATGTGGAATTGTGATAAACCTTTTTCTTAGACAGCCATCAAACAATAATAAAACGGTAGCACTTTATAAACTAGTTGAAATATTTATTGTCACAAGCTTATTGTACACTTCTTCAGGTGATCCATTCACCTGAAGAAGTGTACTATGACAAAAAATATTTCAACTAGTTATCTGTACAGGTATCTGTACAGGTATTTACTTGACGCCACAAGCACATGGATCGAGTGAAAAATGTTGTTGCGTTTACTCGCCCTGTTGGCGGTGCCCGCGGGGCTGTGTTTGTTCGTAAGCTGGAAGGTAAGTCATATTATTGCCTGAGAAAGAGAGAATAAAGTTTGTATACACATTAACAAGTACAGTATGCATAGTACTGTACATTATTATGATCTTTATTTTGAATTTCTTTCGAGCGCAAGTTGGAGTTTTAGCTCCAATCCAACAAAATTTCAGTCCAGGCCTAGCCTAGCATATCGGTAGTGTAAATACATAGGGATTTCACACAACCCCGATTTTACGTACGAATGATTTTTACGAACGCCTCTGGGCCCATCCTGTACGTAAATAGGGGTTCTACAGTATGTATTTTTCTATTTAAAAAAACAACATTGAATGTATTGATTAAACAGATAATAAAATACTGTTTTTTTAAACTGTTAATTTATATTGCTTTATCCACCATCTATCTAAATAGTTAAATTATAAATATTTGTGTTGACTATTGGAATACACTATTTAGTTATAATTTATATATTCAAAAATGTACAAAACATATCACAACATATTTTCTAAGGTGAAAAATCTATTTATATTAATATTATATTATTTATTTTATTTGATCTACTTACATCCTCCCAACTCCAGAAGGTCTCCGTGTTGGATATTCCAGGTTGGTGGCGGTATTCTTCAAGGGGTGGATCAATCAGAATGACATCAAACTCACAGCCAAGCTCGTGAAGGTCAAAGGTTTCTAGGTCTGCTTGCAAGTATCTGTAAAAAAAGAAAAGTCTGCTGTGAGGTAAAACATAAAATAAAACTGGTTTCTTCTTCAATCTTATTGAATACAGAATGCACAAATTCATATCATATTTTGCTACGAAAAATGACTTAAAAATATATTAAATAAAACAATAGATGCAACAAAATGTGGCCGCAGTATTTAAAAACTTACGTTGGGGGCGTGTTTGTCGTGGAAATAAGTTCATCTTTTAATCTAATTAACTCTTTCAATTTTGGATATTCATCAAATCTATCTGCTAGACCTGTAAATAAATGAAAGGTTATATATTAGTTAAGGTCAAATTAATAAATGACTATATCCAAAAATTAAAGTAATAATTTACTTGTTATATTATGTAAGACCTGAAAGGCACTATTGGAAAACAGAAACTAAACGAGCCGTTATTTCCTGAACAAATTTTGTGAAGGCTGACAGGACCGAAGGCAATTTTTTAAGGCTAGACCAGGCTAGGCCAAGAAGGGCCTAGACCTAAAGAAACAAAGGTGATTGACTTAAGTCACTTTAAGCACTGTTTATAATAATAGAAACCATGTATTATAGAGCCGTTATTAACATAAATTTAAAAGGATGTAACTGAAAATAAAAATAACTTACCAACATCCCTTATGAAGTTCTGTGGCCTTTGACCTGTGTCAACATGGTGCTGGCAATAGTCATTATGAGGGTTTGCACTTTGTGTGCCCTAGAACATGGTTAAAACAAAGTTTCAACAATTTAATAAAAAGAAACAGATAATAGATTTTATATTTCTTCATTCTCATTAAATGTCCAAATTACAATAAGTTGTTGCTAATATAAAAATCATATTACAAAATACACCATTGACATACAGGTAGTGAAACAGCAGCAAAAAATGGAAAAAAACTGCACCTAACCCTCAAGTTGAGGATGGTGCATAACGATATAGATAGGATTAATAATCAAAATGATGTCTTATATACATGCACTTTTCAAAGATACATGACTTGAAAAATAATATCTAATATCTAATAATTACCCAATCAAGTTAAGGGGTAAAACTTAAGAAATTGAAATTTATAGGAAGGCATATGAGAGATAAAATAGCATGTCCTTCACAGTCATGAGATAGTGTGGCACACAAATAAATAATTTTTCTGACCTTAAGGAATGTTGTAGAATCTTTATATACTCCGACTTCTTCCTCTTCTTCTTCCAAGTTCTGTGAAATAATATAAAATAAAAAGACAATGCAAAATTTAACACAAATTGTACATACCTACAGTAGTTAATGTTATACAAATCATTTTGGGGAATTATACAAATTTCAGTTTAAAACCTATTGGCTTAATTTTAATTTGAATAGAAGATTACCATACTGAGCTTATCAGAAAATATAAGTCCCTTTCACTTTCAAAATAAAATTTAAAAACACAGTTTGACAAGGTATTCCATAGTCCAAATACACAGTAATTTTAATGTAACTATGCACTTTTTCTTGCTTGTCTATATGTACAGTGAAGATGAACCATTTATTTTCCGCAATTTTGGGTGCTGCGGGTGCCATATGAATATATCTGTTAGTATTATCTCTACACATGTTTGAAAAAAACAAAAAACAGAGAAGTTTAGAAAAAAAAAATTGACAACTAATTATATGGAGATATGTATTTTATGGCTATTTAGACAGGAGTAACATGGTAAGTAATCCATTGTAGTTTATTTTATCTATTTATTTAGTACAAAACACATGCATCAAGGATTGTTAATATTGTAGTAATATATCACTGTCCTATTGTACTTGCACTATAGGTGACAATCCCTTTCACAAGACCTAACACAAGGGAGTGGTGTTGTTTGATTGTGAGAAAAAATCCTGCAACACTGAACTGAACCCTGGGATTGGAAGGCATGAATCCTAGCAACCACGCTATTCAACTCCAGTCCACTATACTTTCAAATGAAGATTTGATTAAATAAATATAATGCACTTCATCATGAGTTGCATTGTAATCCATGCCAATGATGTCCACAACATACTCACTTGGTTATCTGATGTTTTTAAACGTTTCAAATCCTCACTGTCCTCTTCTCGCCCTGCCTTCCGCTTAGATGCTTGAGGCAAACTTGCATCTTGAGAGCTTTGCATTATCATAATATAATATTGGTAATAGAATAACAAAAGTTAATGAAAAGTTTAGTAGACATTTTGCACTGACAAATTTGCTGACACAGATTTATATATTTTTGGCTGTCAAACTCTTCCTTTGGAACATCCCAATTCAGGGGACACTTTTCTGGTCTAACAGGTGTCCCTTATATATGGTTCTACTTTATTTTGAAGCCTTTCTTCTACTGGCTTCTGATGGAATATAAGTGACTTTTACATATATATTAATTATCAAATATTTAAAATTAATAAAATTTCAAATAAATGTTTAGAGCGTAGAACATACACTAGAAGAATTGGAGAAATTCATATTGATAATTATTTAATTAGGTATAGATGTAATAAATATGATAATTAAGAATTGGAAAAAGAAAAAAAGGAAAAGTTAAAGGGTACAAGGCTTGTCGAATGAAGAAATGTGATAGAAATAAATTTAAACAACTAATATAATAGTGAACATACCTTGATGGTAATACATCAGGCACGGCTGACTTGACCGCAGTTGAGTCAGTATTCAAGACACTCCCAATATTCTCAACACCAAACTGTACATAAACATAATTAAGTATTTACCAAAAAAATTGAAAAACGTTACACCCACACATAATTATTAAGAAATAGCATGGCTTGACTAATTCAATTTAATTGATATTTTGTCTTTATTTATATTTCTTCTCTGATTGATTGATATACTGTCGGAGATTAAATAATTGAGAGTGATATACCAGCTGCAATTTTAAGGTTAAACCTTGTAGTGACACTGCCAGGTACTGTAGGTCAAAACTGCAGTAAACCAAAACAGCAATGACCAAAACCGCAATAACCAAAAGTAAACAGCAATAAACCAAAACGGCAAAGATACAGGCTGTAAGTACCAAAACGTCAAAGACAAGAACCAAAACGGTAATAGGCACCAAAACGGCAAAGGAGCAAAATCAATGCCAAGAGCAAGTGCCACTGCTGGACACAGTTTATATATTTTGCGAATCATCTTGAAATTGGCCCGATCGTAGGCAAATATCGAATATTGGGCTCTTTTTCCCACTTTGTTTAATCGCATGTTTAAAATTTATCACATCCATTGGGAATTGTTTAGATACCTAATTTTTCTGTATTCTAAAGTTTTATTTATTTGAATGTTTACTGCTTTTATATTGTTTTCCCCAATCTTTTTACTATTGAGACTGTATGTTGGATACTGTTATTATTATTATTATTATTTCACATTTTTTATTTCTATGACATAAATTGTTTTAACCTCATTTTGTCTGTATTTTAAAGTTTTATTTACTTGAATGTTTACTGCTTAATATTGTGTTTCCCCTGTCCTTTTATTATTGAATTTGTATATTGTTATATTGTTATTAGGCATAGTATTAATTATTATTATTATTATTATTGTTTTTATGACATAAATGGTTTTAGCCTCATTTTGTCTGTATTTTAATGTTTTTTATATATTTAAATTTTTAACACAAAATTTATTGACAAAAAGGATCGACGTTTCGTGTCCATCATGGACGCATTCTCAAGATCAAGTGAACAAAAATAAATATAAGATAGTAAACCAAGTGTAGGTGACATGAAAGGGATTAACAGTCACATGATTAAAAACTAATACAATAGCACAGTATCATGGAGCTGAAAGGAGATTATAAGATTTTAAATTATTTAAATTTTTACCTTATTTAATCGTTGCATATCTTCATGTTTATAATTGGTTTTATGTAGGACCACATTGGAAATAAATTTTGGTTTATTGCTGTTATGGTTTATTGCTGTTATGGTTTATTGTCGTTTCGACTTATTGCCATTTTGGTTTATTGTTGCTTTGATCATTGCCATTTTGACTTATTGCCGTTTTGACTAAAAAGCTAGCAGTTAATTCACATGGATTGGTGAATGCCTAAATAAACCTACAAAAAAGCAAAAAAAAAACAGGAAACATGAATGTCTTCCCTAAAGAAGTTACATTAAAAAACAAAAAGTACCTGTTTCTCCAATAATTGTCTCCGTTGCTTTGATCGTTCTTTGAGCGCTTTAAGTCGATCTGAAGACATATTCTGTTCTAGGCCTAGAGGCTTAATTCACCTTCACCGTCCCCTCAATCAGTTGACAGGCTCCCCCTCTCAATGTCAATGAGTGCGAAATCTTCTGTTCTGTTGGCCTAGCGGATAGATAAAGGTAAAAAAACCCATGTAATTCAAAATTTAAATGAACTTTTTAGCTTAACACATACATATTATTGTTTAATATTGTATACCAAGCAGTTATTTATTCACTCATAAATACCCAATAATACCTACCAAAATATTAGGATTATTATTAATTATGTGCGGAGCAGTACATCATGCTTGTTTTGTCCAGGGGAACTGCATTTTACACGGCGCCATCTACGGTAGCAATTAAATTGACCTTTGCTCGTTGACCTTTCAACTGCCGTCACATAAAAAAAATGCAAACATGTCGAAAAGAGTAAACGAAATTTTGTTAAGAAATGTATACAAACCACTGGGAACACATATTCCTCTTCAAAGACCATTTGCTTTACGAAATAATGTTGCTCTTAGAAAGAATAAACGAGGCGGTAAGAATCACTAAACTTCTTTTTTCTATGCTAGGCCTGCCCCTCTGCTTACAGTAAAGTAGGCTTAGGCTAGCTAGGGCCTAGGCCTAGGCCCCTAGGTAGGAACGGTGAGTTGTGCTGAATAGCAGGACCCCAGGTCAAGTAGAGGCCTCTCTAGGCGTAGACCCTGTCTGGCTTGGTTGGTGGCGGAGGCTTATGCCTAGGCCTATTTTTAGAGATATGTACCGTGGTCCTGGCTCTAAAATGAGATAGTAAGTAGGGCAGGCCTTTTCGAGTATGAAAAATGAAAATTAATGAATGGCAACCAATGCCGAACAAATGGCTGTCAAAATACACAGCCTATCTAGTAGAGGGGCAGGGCCAGGCTACAATGTAAATTCAGACAGCGAGGTCCCAAGCTAGAAGAGGTTAAATGTGCTTTCATACTTTGCATGGTATGGTGCACTGATACCCATCGCATCGCCACTGACTTCCATGAGATAATTGATAACAGTAGTAGTAGTCAAAACATGCAAATATTATGAATTTGTAGGAGATGGTTTACATTCTGGGGGCTCTAGCTTGCTTGCTGGAGTGCATGAGGCGGTCCCAATTTCCGAGAGACGCCTGTGACTTCCTGGAGACTTAGGACCCCTGTAAAGTCTTTCATTATTTGCACAGAGGATATCTCAAAAACCAATGCAGATTTGCGCGGAAAATCACTAGGAAAATAAGTGCGCAGAACTACTGTTTAATAATACACTGGTTGTACATTGAGAGATAGGCCAAGGCTGGATTTTCTGGAAAAAAAATCCTCAGAAATCGGCTTTTATTTGCAGAAGTGTGCGGAGAGAATTCTAGTACTAATAATATATTCCCCCGCCCAAGCCTTATTTTACAGTCTGTTATTAATTGAATACTTACTAATTGCCTACAGAAGGTGGCCTCTTTTTGCCTTGGTGTACTCTGTATAGAAACACCTAATCCTATGTAATATTCTCTATTTAGGACATTAAATGAATATACTTACATGAAATTTATTTTTAATCATTGGATATGTTTTTTAATTTACTGCAGCCGCACCTTGTGTAACTGAAATGTCGGTACTTATGTCTTGTTGGAAGCAGAACAGTTATAACGATAGCAGTTGCCTCGAAGAAATTACAGCTTTTCAAAAATGTTTCGTTGAAGCAGAGGTAAGAGATTCTGATTAATTTTAATCTATAGTTAGCAATAATTTGAAGGCAGCCAACCCTATTCCCAAAACTCAGCCCAATTTCATGTTCAAACTTATTATTAAAGTACTGGATAAAGTTATTTACTGTATTCTGCATTTATTTTCATCCAGCTGCTTTCTCAGCAACCATAAGTGTGCATATTTGATTGACAGGCCACCAACTGGTACCATTGCCATCATGTAAGTTATAGTAATGTAAATATAATACCAGATCTCCAACTTATAATTAACATTATTTTTATTATGTCAGAAAGAGAAGAAGGAATTTCAGGCAGCTGCAAAAGAGGGCAAAATTGAAGAAGGACGAGCAACATGCCAACAAGTGAACACACTGATGAAAAAGTTTCCGCAGCAGAGTAATAGTAGGAAATATAAAAAAACACAGAATCAAAGACTTTTTACAAGTTTTCCCAAGAAGCAATGAGAAGAAACTTACATATGTGTGAATGAACAGAAGATTGAGGTGCAACTCAGTGTGAACGCAATGCCAGGAAGAATACATGTTCTGTATTGGCAATCCGGATACTGAGGCTTTGGGTAGTTAACAACCATGCCCTATCCGAGGTTTCACAGTGTTTGTCCTATGGAAATACATTGTAACAAAAGAAAATAGAAATTGAATTTAAATGGTCTAAAGGGTATAAAAGACTTTACATAATGCAGTGAAAGAGATAGCTCTGCTGCATACAAAGCAATACCCCCCCCCCCCACAAACATCAAATGCTGTATATCAGGAAGACCGTCACTTTTTGCGGAAGGAAACACAATAGTGCCGATGTTTTCGATTTAGATACTGTTTTTGAATTCCTATGATAGTATAATTTATACTAAGTAAGTTTAAGCATCACTACTGATCATAGAGAGATTTCAATAAATTAAATAAATATAATGTTTCGTTATAAAACTGTTTTTGTTTGCTTTAAAGAAGGGACCACATTACAACACTGGAACTGAACTCTCTGCCCAAGATATGAACTCTAGCCCAAGATATTGAATATCGCCCTCAATTGGTCAACGTATTTCCTTTCATAAGCATTAGTTCAAATTATGGGAAAAAATTAACATCGTTTTATCAAGCAAAAAACAGCTCCACCTCCCCTAAACTTGTTGGTAGAATATCGATGCTTTTTTTTTTTTTTATAATGGTAGAAATTATCAATTTAAATATAAGTTGCCGAACATAGGCTTAAGGGATGACATCAATATACAGTACAGTATTAGGATGTTATTGCTGAATAGCGCACACATTAATTGCAACTAAATGCCAAAGGGGCTCAAAAAGGAAATGAGGAATCAATGCTTGTCTGGAACGAATGTTATGGTACGTCATCAATAACGGGAACAAATGGAAATAAATATTATTTTTCAAGGGAGGCTGTTTTTGTCTTATGCTCTTCATAATATCACTGGTGCGTTGGTACTGGTTGTAGTAAGGTCATTGTTACCATTACAATTTAGGTTTGGCACATCCGATTGAT